CAGAGAGATTGCAGAAAGCTATGAAGGTAGGTGCCTGTGAGAAATTACATAAACTTACAGCGTGGGGTTTTTTTAAATGCTTGTACAGCTCATTGGAATGAACTGTTCATCTGAAGGGATTACATTTTCAGTGGGCAGATGACTAACAGGATGCAGTCATTATTATTAAAGGCTGGAAAAATCTAGCTCATGCAATCCATTTAACAAAAAGAGGAATACAACCATACCTTAAACAAAGAAAGTCTTCACTTGGTACCACACAAATATGCTTAAAACTCATTGAAATTGAAATCTTTTAAGTAGGGAGGTCTACCAGAAGTAAGTAAATAGGTCATTAAACTCACCGAATTTACTGACCCCCTGTCCCTCTGTCAATTCCCCTCGTGTTTTTCTGAACTGTTCTTGTGCAGAGAAATTGCTTAGTGTCCTACCCCTATATTTAATTTATTAAAGCAGGATAGGTCAAATTCTCTCCCAGCTTATTGAAGTCAGTGGGGTTATGCTAGCAAACAGCCATTTGTGGGGTGATGATTTATTTTATATTTTTACTTCTGCTGTATCATATAGCATTTCCACACATTATTAATATGTTCTATTGTTGTTCTATTTGTTTCAGGGAGCAGGAACAAAAGACAGAACTCTGATTCGTATCATGGTGTCGCGCAGCGAGGTTGATCTGCTGGACATACGAGCAGAATACAAGCGGATGTATGGCAGATCTCTCTACACAGATATCACTGTAAGACCTGGAGAGTTTCTCTTTCCTTCTATGACATCCTTTCTGCTAGTAGAACATGGATCTTTACATTGAGCAGCTATTAACTGCATGGTGTCGCTGGCTGTTGATTTGCTGCATTCATCAGGAGAGTGGAGGCTGATGTGCCAGAGAACAGACAGCCCTTGCTTTTGCATGGGGGTTGGATGAGCTAGAAATGGGAAGGAAGCTAACACACAAGGAAGGAAAGGGAAATTGGTCCAGAAGGGTTTCAGAGACCTGGTTTCGAGTCTGTTCTCTGTCCCAATTTCTGTGTATCATCTTGTAGAAACCACTTAGTCATCCAACTGAGTAACAATGGTGCTCTACTTTGTGTGCGTTGAAAGAATGTAAAAGCTCTTAAAAATCTTTTAAAAGATTGCCTTCTCTTTCTCTTGAAAGTACAAGATTTTGAAAATAGACTGTAGAAAGATCCATACTCCTACTACTATTAAGAGTTGTAGCAACAGTGGATGAGGATGCCTAGCCAATGGGGAGGGTAATAAAATCAGGAGGAGAGTGAGTGGTGCCACCTTGTAATGAGAGTGCCAGATCTGTTAGGGCCCTATATTTTTTTCTGCTGTTGTTACTGAGGGGCTATTACTTGGTACTGTTTGGAAAGAAACCTGCAAATATTTTGAAAGATAGTGGATGCCAAATGTCTTGATGGGACTCTTTTGCCAGAAACTATGTGGTCTTCCTGCCCATGCACCACAGAGGATTACTCAGCTTTTACTGAATGTGTAACTCTGGAGTGAAGATGTGCTTCTACTACAGTAGTTACATGCCCTGTGACCACCAATGTATGAGTGAAAAGCGGTGAGGCAGTGGAAAAGCTGTATATCTCTTCCCCCACAGCTTCTCTTTTATGTAGAACTAAAATTTACCATTCAGGACAGAACAGGCCATACTCATTTAATGGATTGAACTCAGTCAAAACTTGGTTTCAGTAAATATGGGGCATGCATGTGCACAGTTACGTGCTTCTTATTTCTGTAAAAGCCAGAAAACATTGGAAAGAAGGTTCTTAGATCTTCAGCCCTGGCTTCATCTCTTTTGGTTGTTCTTCAGCTTTTCTTTTTCTGGTTTCCTTTCCAGGGTGATACTTCAGGAGACTACCGGAAAATCCTGCTCAAGTTGTGTGGTGGAAATGACTAAATTGAGAATTGAGCTTTTCTTTAAAAAGCTGCTATTTTCATGTTTTTGCCATTAAAGCATCTATTTTTCTCCAAAAGTAAATGTATAATGACCTGCTTCTTCTAAAGCAATTGCATTTTAAAAGATCATATTGCATATATCTTCTCTTTATTCTCTTCAGTTCAAAAATAGTAGGTAATAAATGCCAAAATCCCCACAAATATCAAACTTATGTGCCATCTGCTCAGGATTCTGTATAGCATTCCCAGCAGTCCATGAATGACAGGTCATTATTCCTTTTCTCCTTAGATGAAATAATGTTTGTTTTCTGAAACAAAAATCACAGTTGTATGATTTAAAGCTTTATTTTGTATAAAAATTGCGTGCCATTTTAATGCAAGTTTTATATATATTGTATGCAGAGTTGGTTTCAGGCTAGCCAACTCCCTGGTGTGGAGATAGCAACCCTGAGTTTTTGTGTTTAGTTAAGATTGTTTTGAAGAAGTTTTGTTAAGTTCTGTTTTCCTTCCTTGATTGTTTTCACGGAGGATGTGTTCCACATTTCATTCTTGCTAAAGCTACTGTCACAAGGCAGTAGTAATGTTGACAGTAGTAAAGAGTCTATGGTCAATGTTTAAAGGTTTTGGATTGTGCCTTAAATATATGTATGTAAGAAGAGATTATGAAATTAAAGCTGTCTTCTAAGTCTTTGCAGACAATGCTGTTTGGTGTTCATGTTGATTTAGGTGTGAGTGATGGCTCAATTTATGTAATTTAGGTTTTCCATAGAAGCTCTCTGCTTGAATCCATGGGATTATTGAGAAAGAGATTGGGACCTGTGTGCTGTTGATGAGCAATTGCATGTACATGCTATACTTAATCTGTAGTTATTGCTCAGTATTTTCATTTTGTGTGTTGTAATTTTTCTTATTCTTGGGACTCTGAATTTTTATTCTGCTGGCATGGATGACATCTCTTCAGCTTGTTGTTCTCAAAATAGAAACATGTAAAGGAAAAAGGTATAAGGGGGGAAGAGGTTTTCTACCTAGGTCATTGAAAATAGACTGCTTCTTAATAAAGAATGTGCAGACTCCTCTTATTTCACACACATATGCACGTGCTCTCTCCATTCTGTAACGGTCAGGCAGGTCTTTTTTCCTAGAAGTTGTGTTGCTGTTTGACTTGAAAGAAAATGGGGTTGTCATGGATTTAATTCTGGATTGCATTGTCACTATGGCAAGGGAAAAGAGTGTAAAGATTACAGAATATGGTAGCTGTGCATTCAAATGACAAATTCTGACTAGGATGTGCTGACAGGACTCCTGTTTCAGTCAATGGCAGCAATGTGACCTACATCCAAAGCTAGACCACTCCATACACTTATATCTGCCAGACAGTTTGAGCATGTCTTGAGAGGAAGTTGCAGCTGAAAGTCTTATCTTCATTGGCTGACACCAATAGCAGGAGTTCACTTTGCTGGGGAAGGAGTAAACCTTTGGATTAAGGGAAGTTTGTTAGCTGTGCTTCACTCCTGAACCCCACCTGGTCTTGTTTTCTTCCTGACAGTGCTGTATTTGAAATGCAATTTTGATAAAGTAGGGCTGCAGAAAGATTAAAAAAAACCCACAAAGCTTTGAAACAGTTCAGATTTGCAAAAAGCAAATACGTGTTTATTATGAAGCACAGGAACACAGAAGGCAAACTACAGCTGAGGATTGTTTATCCCTGCACAAATTCTGGAAACATAAGCTTATTAAATGAACAAAAGTGCAATTGTTTATGACAACCACACTGTTACATTTGGCTGTCTTCTATCTTCGCAGTGCTCAGCTGGTATCTGTATAGAGAAGAGTTGATGTAGTTATTTTTGGTTATGAGATCAGGATCAATCTTTGTAGATAAATCTTATTTCAAACATGAATTCTGCTACTCTAAAGTGGGGAATTTGATTCATAGACTCATAGAAGGAAGTTCCGATCTGCAACTCTTGAGCCATTTGTCAATTGTAATTTTAAATAAAATTACATTAAATTTACATTAAAATGCAAATTTTAATGGATAAAAGTTGGTAAGGACATGTCAGTTGTGGTGACCAGATCCACACAGCCAACTGCAAGAACTAAAAGCCAGCACAAACTCTAAAGTTGTCTGCTTTGAGCTCACCTTTTATCATGTAAGTGCACTATAGCATACCCATGTGTATGTACTCATGTACAGCTATCTTAAACTAACAAACAAAAAACCCAACACTGACAAAACTGACTTCATATCCGTGTCTGTGGATGCTTATACCTTTCCATGAGTGGTTTGTTTTTCACCAGGAGTGTCTCACCTTGTTAAATGCACTATTGATATTTGGACAGACCATTGTAAGAAGCTGTGTAGAACAGCTGGATTCATCCAACTGATTTCTGTTGTGGTTTAATTTATTCCAAAAATGTTTATTCAGGAACACTTTTGTGTGAGGAGCTTGCATGTCAAAGCTGGATTTAAGACATAAAATGGTAAGGCCTCCAATACCTTTCTTTTAAAAAAAATTATTTTGTTGCCCTGCTTTCTTTTGTCATGAAGCCAAAGTATCAAAGGATCTTAAAACTGAAAACAGTCCTTGAGATTGCTTAGTCTATGCTGCTGCTCTAAGGTGTGGTGCTTGTTTAATAATTCCAGTGCTGGGAAAACTACAGTCATATCATTTCAGTGGTTCACTGTCCTTGTAAGAAAGCTTTGCATTGTGTTTTGCTTGAGCCTTTCTTGCTGCATTATTCCTTGTTTCATTCACTTTGCCAATGGGGAAGAGAACACCTTTTGTCTTTGTGGTAGTCTTACGCATTTTGTAGGTTACTTCAATCTTCTTTAGACTAAGCATCCCTAATTTAACAACCTTCCTGTGTAGCTCATGTATCAAGGTCCTTGGTTGGATTTTTGTTTGATTGGTGGTGGTATTCGTTGCCCCTCTTCCCCTTTTCTCCCAGCTCTCTTTAGTGGTTGTTGAAACCTGGTGTTCAGGTTTCAGCTAATGCCTTAGCTGCCCTGAATTGATTCAAGGAATTAGTTCACATCTTGTGGGAGAAAAGATGACATATTTGGTAATAATATATGTAACACTTTTTCAGCTTAGGTTATATCCAACTAGATACTGACCATCAAAAATGTCTATAAGTGGTGTTCCTGGAACGGTGGGGATTTTCGATGTCGTCTCACTGATGATGTTGAGGAGCGATTTGACTTCTGATTCTAGGTGCTCCACTGTTTTTATTACCTTCTAATGGAAACAAGGAAGAGAAGTGGAGAAAGGAGGTAGTCAAAGGGTCAAGTGTAAGGAATTGTACTGGATGTGTTTGCAGAAGTGCAAATCTAATGTCCCATAATGCTAACAGCTAATTTCATTCATATTGCGCAGTGCAGATTTAAATATTTCTTGTGTCCTGCTGGCCTCTAGTGGCACTAAGTATTAACACTTTGTTTTGCAAGAGTTACACCCCTGTATAAAGAATAACCCATCATTTTTTACTTCTTGGTGGGAGCTTTACGTTAATTTCTTTTAAATTTTTTTCGCATTTCTGAGCCACCATATATCCAATAAAAGAATCTGCATGGAAGAAGAGAGGACCTGATGGGGTGGAAAGAAGAGATCTGGGACTAGATCAGAAGAGAGGTAATGCTGCCATTTGAGAACTGACAGCATGAGGTTGGGGGACTACCCAGCTGGGAATAGCTAGCACATATCTTTTGAGTGCTTAAGACACCAGGGAAAAAAATCACTTTGCAGTTTTCCTAGAATCCTAGTCATAAAGTTCATTTAGCTCTTGTGTGCCTGCAGGGGTGAGCAGAAACTCCTCCTTCAGTCTTAAGAGTCACCCGCAGAACTCACATCTAGCCATGAGCCCATGTGAAACTTTACAAATATCAATTCTGAGATTGTTAGATTAAAGACATAGTTACAAATATTTTAGAAAGGTCAAAATATGTAATAGTGATTTGGTAATCAGTTGTTTGGAAATTCATCAAGATCATGTTTCTGCTAATGATGGCTTTGTGGGTAGTTACAAGACATGACATCTGAAAAAAATAGTCAGACCTTGACTAGACAAAATCAAGAAGGGTCAGTGTCTAGAAACATCCTTCTTTCTTTTCTCTGGTCAAAAGGATGGGACAGAGGTCTCTAAGGTTCAGAAGCCAGCACAGTGTCTCTTACCTCTTCAATAATATCTAGGCGTTCATGGATCTGATGTTCATTACACCAGTTTTCTCTTCCCAGACTTTCGGGTAACACACTGACAGGGTCTGCAGCAACTGGAAAAATAGCCACAGTTAATTAGCAGGTTCTTTGTACTAGCAGTCTTGCCTTTCTGACTTCTGAAGTGGTATTTTGCATGCTAAACAGCATTGTTTGTGAACCAAATGCAGGAATTTAACCTCTCTCCCAATAACTATAGCTGTCTCAGTGTTGTGAATGTCTCCTTACCAGTTTGTCATGGTTGGTTGGAAGAGGGTGTTTTCTCTTGCTAGGGCTTTTTTTGTTTGTTTTGGATTTGTGTGTGTTTGTTTTACATAATCTGTTTGTTCCTACCTGTGTAGGGTATGTTTATAGACTTGTAACTCTGCCTCTACAAGTATAAAACCTAAGCATTGGGGAGATCCTCCTTACATGTCAGTTCCAGTCAGACTTTCTTCAGAAGCAGCTGGTACAGTAAAGTTTTGAGCGTAGCTAAGTTTGTCCACTTTCTGAATGGATAAAAGCTGGTGATTCCTCTGTGCAGAAAGTTGCTCCTGACAGCCTGACTTTGCAATGGGAAGGGAAACAAGAAAAGTGTGTACAGCTGATGCCATTTGCTGACTAAGCCACTCGCATATGTCGCTATATACAGTCACTTATCTCTGTCAGTTATCTCTACTTACCTCTCAATACTCATGAGCTCTTGCTCTTTGAACTTTTCATTCTGCTGCTTCTGCTCCATGAAACACCTGCTAGTGTCCAATGGACCCAATTTCCTTTTCATAGCTTCTGTGCGACCTTCAGTAACACTTAAATTTAGTGCAGGTGCATAGAACTGTAGCAGAGCATTTTAAACCCCACTAAAGTGATAACATATCCTGCCCCATGTAAAGTTAGGTCTTGCTCATGTTTGAGGCTTGAAGCAGCATGATAATGAGAAAGCAGCAGTAACTCAATCTGTCATCATTTGATTGTTACAAAGAGAAAACTATGAGCTTATGTTATAATGAACGGTAAGAAACGTAAGAGCAGAAACTGGTTCTGTCTTCAGTACTGTTGTGCTTCAGCAGTGGTTTGGAACTGCTGCAGTGCTTCATTGCAAGTCTGTGCCAAGGTGTCTGAAGTGTAGATGTCAGATGATGGCAAGTGCATGTCAGTAAGGGTTGTAGTAATTGCAGTTTGATATGATGAGAGATGTACTCTGGGTTGAAACAGCATCATTGGAAGTGGAGGAGGAGGAGAGGATTAAAATGTGATTTAACATACTGGGCATTGTTTAGAAACTGGTCTGGCAGATCTTAAGATTTGGTTGGGGATTTTTTTAGTGCATTCACCAGGAGGTGGTGCTGTTAGGACAGACTCCCAAAGACTTCATCTACCTGTTTACAGACGAGTGCTGAAGTACATCAGGTACTTCAACACCAGCTGCTTTGCAGTTGTGCTTTTTTACCCCTTTACTGCTAGTGGTAATGGTGTGTTGTTACCGTTCTAACTTAGTGGTCAAGTAAATCATGCTACTTCTCAAAACTTTTGCTTCTCTAAGTGTTTTTTCCATCATTACTGGGGCAGTATGGAGATGCTGAAATTCTGTGTTAGAAATAGAGGTTACAAAGCAGTGACCAATGCTTGTCTGCAAACCTTTCCTACTAATAGGATAATAGCAATGTAAGTTCCATTTTGGTGTCAGAAATTAATAAAATTTCCACCGTCCCAGTATTCATAGCTCTAGCTCTTGGTGTCAAACCTGGTGGCCCAATTCAGCTGTATGCTGAGCTTTCACTCATCACGTTGGAGACAGAACCAAGGGCAAGCAGGAGACATGGTGACAAGGTAACTGCAGATCAGTTGATGACTACTGGGAACATTCCCAGATCTAACTATAAATGAGCTGTGCAAAGAAGCAGAGGAAATAATTAGGTGGAATAAAAGCAAATGGAACCACCAGGTGGGTGGTTGCTGCTGCTGTCTGAGCGGCCAGTACTTCGTCAGTGTAGATTTCTTCTGTTTCCTGAGTCCTGGCTTGAGGCTTCAGCTGCTCGAAAATCTCACTGTTAATTTGTTGTCTGGTTTTAGCTCTTAACCAATGGCTTTATCTCTGGGATGGGCTGTTCACAAGGCATATCCAGTCCTTTGTAAATATGGCACATATCTGGGTCACTGTGGTCAGGCAATTCAGCCGAAGCAGTAATTTCCATGTGCTCAAAGAGAATCACGTGTTACTTACGAGCACTGCCCTTCTCTGTATTGCAGTTGGTGAAAGAAAATGACACAATCTGCCTTTGACACTGACCTTACTCCAGCATCATCTCTACCACATGTAATAATGACAGTCACTGTGTAAAGGAAGCAAAGAATGGAAGGCTGCAAGCCATGTAAGCAAAAGAGTTAATGAATGGCCTTTTAGGATACTTCTGTGTACTGGATTTTTTTGTTGCTGAAGAACCAGTTTTTTAAATGAAAATTGGAATTTTTGCTTGTCTATGTTTCAAAGCACACGCATAAATGCAGAAAACTTTGATAGTAAACTTTAAAGTTAACAGTTTTAAAAGTAAAATGTTCTTTATCTGCCATGTAAATTACATATTTCAAATGTGTGGGTGTTTGCATCTTATGACAACTTAGGCATGTGTGTAGGAGGCATATTTCAACATATTAATCTCTCATTTGAAATTTAATGGACTATTTCACACAGATACTTGTTGTAACATTTCAATATGGCAGAGAGAACATTACCTTTCAGTTAATGCCCCATCTGCAAATTTCCACCTGATGCTTCCTGCAAGTGAGTTGCTTAGTTCAATTTCTGAAGTCCATTCTGTTTGATATATAGGTGGTTATTTTCCATCAGAAATCAGAACTCTCTTGTTCAAGGTAAGACAATGACTTATGCCTTTTTCTTCTGATTAAGTCCTCTGTGCTGTGTCAATGGTGCCCATAAATCTGGGTAGTTCTAACCACCCTGTCTGTGACGCAGTCACACACTATCAGAAGGAGCAGGAAAATGGAACATCTGAGTTGTTTCTAATAAGTATGTTTAATAAAAGCACATGCTTAAAGCTTGAAAGAAGTAGCATGATAAAGAGTAAAAATCTTTCTATCATGGTCAGTCTGACTGTACAAAACTTGATCTTATAGCAGGGGACAGAAAGAGCAATTAAGTAAGAATTTAAACAACCTTAGCAAACAGGTTAAGTGCCTTAGGTTTAGGGTATTTCTCAGTTATGTTCCTCTCTCTCCTGTACATTTGATACATTCTCCCAGCACTCCAAGATGTTGCTTCTACTCACTCTCTGAAGAAGTCCTCTTGTAGGACTGTCAGGATTCTGTCTGTCTGGATGCTGTTAAATGGTTCATTTTGATTCTCCAAGTAGTTGCTAATAGTAAGCATCAGAATAAACCTGAGCAACTCTCTCTTTTCTGCTGTTACTAGGACTGACAGAACTAGTGTATGAGATCACACAGATCTGGCAGGTCTTCATAACTACCCTTCCTAATGACACATTACTGGTCAAACTGAGGTTGCAGGCTTGATCTAGAAATTGCTGTATTGGGTTCTTTGGTATGTGTTACAGAGAAGGCCAAGATGAGTGACCACAGTGTTCCCCATTGGTCGTAAAATCTGTAAAATTCTTTTTGCCTCGTTCTATGATCTCTGTGGTTTTGAAAGTTAACTGTGAGTTCATGTTGTGCTCAGTAAGGCAGGAGGGGTAAAACAAAGCAGGCCACAAGCCAAGTAAAAGATACATGAGGTTGAAACAGGAACCAGATGGCAAATAAGGAAGCCTGAAAACGTGTGATAGACCAAGGGGAGTAAAGGAGAACATGTATAACGCTTCAAGAAAACATACTGTGCTGTCTTTTCTTTGCACTGCTTTAGGTTTAGCCGTATAATTTTATTCCTGGAGCATATAGTATAAGGTGGACAGATAGCTTTTAATGAGAAAATGAATGGGGATAGGAATGGGTTTAGATTTCAACAGGAAAAAACATCATGAACTTGAGGATAAAGTTCAAATGGTGAACCCACGAACCAATTTGGGAAGAATGCAACAGACCTCTGAAGGGATTTGCTGATCCTTGCCTAAATTATTCTTTCTCTAACGTAAGCGCTGAATTCTACTTTAACATGTGCATAAAACGTTGAAATGTTAGCTCAAGAAATTACACAGTTTACAAAAATGGTTGGTGAAGATAAATTGCAGCTGAATTTGGGAATGATTCAATTGCTTTGAACCTGAACTGATACTAATACCATCAGTACTAATGCTTTCAGACCTAAGACCATGTTAAACTAAGACTGTTAGCCTTATTTAATTTGGGGGGCTGTTCTTAATGGCATCAAACTTAGTTTCCAGTTACGTCAGCCCTTAATCAGATTGTCATCCTAGACATAGAAGTACTGAATTAACTCTCTGTATCAAAACCAGTTTCATTATCACCAGTATGCCCAAATTAATTTAAAACCACGTTATATATAACTCAAGCCTTATCAGATTTTATTGTTAGGGTATCAAAAATAATTGTTGTGGATAGAATGTGTTGTATTGGAAATGATTTTTAATGCACAGATTCCTTTCAAGTACTTACATGCTCAGGAGCCTATGTTTAATGACACAGAGCATCTTCCAGACTGTAATTCATAAAACACTAATGCTTAGCTGTGGTTTAGGCATCTCTGAAACACTTTGTAGAGTCTGGAGTTTCTAGTTGCTTAAAGATAAGGGAATTTTTGCCTTTAGTGATTACAATAAAGACTGCAGGAATTGAAATAAATGCATAAAATTTCTTAGCACCTCATACACTGCCATAGGTTACTGTGCTTCATTCACACTGCAGGAGTTTGCTTATATATGCACATGCATGTCAATATATAAATGTACACACACCTCTACTAGCTCTAGCATTTATGGCAGAACAACATTGTAAATTTCATACAGAGCAAATATGGAATATCCAAATTTGGAGATGGAAAGTAGACACTTTATAGTAGAAAACCAACAGTAGAAAGATCTTCTGAAATATGGGGTTGTGGGAATATTGGGTTTGCTTCTTTTTTTGTTGTTTTTTTTTTCTTTTGTTTGTGGGTTGTTGTGGTGTTTTTTGGGTGTTTGTTTGTTTGTGGGTTTTTTAAAAGTTATTTCAAGGAGGTACAATGAAAGTTTTTAATGCCTGAAGGTCTTCTGAGCAAGCAGCCAGGGAATATCCTCTGTGCTGCTACAAAGGAAAATGTCTACTGGGAATTGAACTGATAAGAGACATGACGTACATAATTTGCAGGTAGGTTACTCTAATTCATGCTGTAACTTACAATGATGCTTTGGGCTGCAAAAATGTTTCCCTTTATTACATAATTATTTCTGTGTGAATAGATATTTGTTATGGAAAGTAAGGCAAAGTGTTAGGAGGATTATAGCTAGAAGCTATACAGGACATACTTGTGGAGAAGGGGATGAGCTGTTTTAGGAAGAAGAGGGGCTGTGCCATAGTATATGTAAAGACTCAAAGTTGTGTAGAATTATTGAGCTTAAGGCTGGCTTGAGAGTGGAGCAGGTGAGATACCTAAGTATTGGATGCCACTATCAATTTGAGGATGACCACTGGTATCAGGGGGTAAAGAGTTTTTCAGATTTATGAGGACATGGCTTTTGGTCTGTGTTTAATATAATAGGAGCTTTGGTCATGGGGAGTGGATGAGGTGAGTTTGTGACTTATTAGTCAGCTCTGTGGCTGTTTGGTTTGCATATGAGTAAGTCGTGACAGTAGAAAGAAAGAAGATAGTACAGTAAAAGAATATCCTTGCAGGTTTTTTTCTAATACTTAAACAAGTCTATGAATGTTTTTGAAGGTACATTTTGTTCTGGTAGACTGTTCATGCATTCTACAACAACTTAGGAAGTAGAATAGTGAGTGAGGGGAAGATGCATACATAGATACACACTAGATCCTGTCATTCATGGCCAAGACTCACAACTGCTTCAACCAGAGCAGATCAGCTGCATTCATGAATAGAGCTACATCCTGCAGATGAACAGCAGGAGTCCTGTATTTCTAAACTCCTGACTGTTTTGGGAGTTTGATGTTAACCTTTGCTCTACATATGGAGGTTACAAGGTCCACAGAACCTAATAAATTGCTTTTAACTAAACATAAAAAACCCATAGGGCTTTACAGATATATAAAATCTGTAAAAAAGCTCACTTCTGTACAGAACCTCTATCTTCAGATGTCTCATGGTCTTAAACACATTTATTTCTAGGTACACTTTGTTGTGACAAACTATTTCTCCTTCCTTGCTGGAGCTCAGACATGAGTTTTGCAAAGACTGTAATCCTTGCATCAGAGACAATAATGCTGATAGGTTTCTATAAGGATGGAAAATACCTATAACACAGTGTATAGGTTAAAGCACTGCTAATTTATTAGTAGAGAAATATGAGTCCAAGTCTGGTTTAGAATAGAACATCTATCATAATTTTTTACTGTAGCTTTAATTCTATAGTGCGGTGGTTTAATCTCCTGGAGACAAAATGCTCTTCTGTGAGAATGCACATGGTCAATTTGGGGCAAAAGCTGGCTGTTCTGAAAGGATCTTTTTCTTTCTAGTTTCTAGGCAATGGTCTAGCTTATAGAGCTTCCCAGCTTTGATATTGCATGTGGATATCAAAGGATTCAAAATATTCTGAGAAGTCATAACATGTTAGATGAATGAAGAAAAACATTCATACACTTGGTTTACTTTAACTTGTGGTTAAAACCGAATGAAAATTCTGCTGTTTAAAAGCAAGTCATACCACAGTGTGGAGTATTGAGCAGCAGTGCATCCACTGGAGCTCTCCTCTTGCTGCCTCCCTAGTAGCATGCTCAGTATTTGGTTTGCTCAGCTAAATGGTGAGTCTAAGTGGGGCCAACCTGCTTACCAAGTACTTGTTCACCCAAGGACTCCAGGTCACCTCTCTGTCATGCATAAACATGGTGCAAAGACTTTGCTGTTGAGGTGCTGCACCCATGAGAACAATTTCCCTGAAGGTTTTTGTAAGAATGGAAACACATTTAAATGGGGCAGGTATTGGGCCCTAGGCTATATTGCATGCTAAAGCTGAGCAGCACCCCACAAACTAACCCAGCATCAGCAGCAAAGCACTATAGACTGTGGCCATCAGGCAGGAGCACGTGGTTGCATCCAGAAGGGCTCCTGTGCCAGCCTCTCCCCTGAACAACTCACAGGCTGAGCAATATGAATGTGACTTTTTTTTATATAATGGCTGAGTTAAAACGTAAATTTCACTTTGGCTAAATCCAAATGTTTTTGAAGAGGAACTCATGGGAGTTAGAATGAGGGGGATCTGTAAGGGAACCAAAAGTTAGATTCCTCCACTCAAAGATAGT